TTATTGGGAGAGTGCGGCGGTAAGTAAGTATGTGCACCATCCACGTGAAGGCGCTAGGTTCAAAGAATGGTTCCATCCTTTGTGGAACGGGCTATGGTCCAGCCTCTGGCTTGCCCACTACAATGCTTATCCTTGATACCTTCAAAAGTTGCTTCTAGTGCGGTGATATGCAGAGACAGTAAGCCACGGCATCTTCTTAGTCATCCGTGATTCACATCAGTATGTAAACTCCATGGATTGCACGTCAGACTATAAGAGGCCACTTCTAACTCTTTATCTAGATATGTAATGCTCCTCGAAATTGTTTTGCAGTTTACATGACCCTATCTCGACCTGGTGCCCAACAGTAGCAGGAAGCTTACATACATGGTGTATTGCAGGAAAAAGGTTCAACCTCCACATGACTTCATCCGTATTAGGCGTGTGTACATGCGTGTCAGTTGAAGCCATTTCGCCCAGTCTTCCAAGCGAATTCAGTTATTGGTACGGATCTATGCTGAGATCGCAAATCATTGAGTATTTCCAGTTCCGACTTATACGTTTTCAGTCCGGAGGATACGTGTGCATGAAAGCATCGAAGTGCTTACCTTATAATAGTATCCATATAAGAACGCTTCCTCGTTTTGGCGTAAAACATGTAATTTGGAGTATAAGGCTCAACAATTTTCCATAGTGTGGCCACGTCAGACCACCCGTCCCAATAAAAATCGTCATGGAAAACCCGTGGAAAGTGAATAATTCCGAATATTCACTGACAAAAATTATCATGTTCTATTCCACGTATTAGTCATGAAAATGAGCATAGCTATAGTTCCCTTTGTTTGTCAGACATACTGAAGTTAGCTGAGTTATGATAAAGGCAACTAGTATCGGGGTTAGAGGCGCCTGCTATAAGTTGAATAATAAATGACCTATTTTCCAGGTAGAGTAGAGGGTAAGGTGAATAGTGCTGGTACGTTAGTGTCTAAGTACATTGCATCGGAGAGGAGCCAGTGCACAGCCAGAAGTGTTTAGGAGCTCCGAATGGCTGCCAGACACACGATGACAGAGCGTTATAAAAAGTTAATCGCCACGGCAGAGTACACAGCTACATCTGCCAACATCCATGCTAATTCTGGGAAATTTGCTTAAAAGTAGTATGTTTGACAGTGGGCAGCGGGACTTACTGGATTTATTATTGCTGTGATTATGGCAAAAAAGACAGCAACTAATGTGCGGTATTACCAGCTGCTGATTCTTGAGGTGGAGCAAGAGACGTTATTCGGGAATCCGCAAGTACCTCGGACATCAGGCGATCGGACCAATCCTATATTAAGTAGGGACACGGAGAGACCAAATTTACAACCCCGTCGCATTCCCACACTGTGCGACATACATCAACCGCAAGACCGATTTCACATATTGGATACAGTATCTACAAAGCACTTATGATCAAGCACTTCTGTCTTACTGTATCGCTTGTTTTTGCATCATTCCTCCTGGTAGCCGTGTTGATAGTATTTGTTTCCTTATTCCTATATCTGTCTCTATCTGGTGCTGATGCCCGTGGTTCTGACTAAATTTAAGGCTCATTTAAGCTCACGTTTAGACCTAAAGTAACCACCGCTAAATCTAATTGATCATTTATTCCCATAAATTGACTACTTACCTACAATCCGAACCAATGCACATTCGTAGTATTAATGTACATGAGGGTCAATGTTTCTCCATTCAGTTTGGGCTAGTCTGCACACAAGTGTGGACAAATGCATGCGAGTGTACGTAGTTATGTTGGATTCGCACTGCCATCATGCAATTGTCAAAATCGAGGCTCACGAAGCCTATGATGTCCTTCGTCATCTCAGTCGTGCTAATCTCGACTGACTGTCCGTTGGACGTAGGTTTGACGAATGAAACTTCCTGGGTGATACACAATGCCCTGCAACGCGTTTGACGTGAATGCTGACAAGGTGCTTAGTCGCCTATTACTCTCCACCTCGAATGTACTGGCTCCAGGAGACTGCAAATTGTTGCAGTGTATGACGGGATGCACGGTCCTCGTGACCGTGCTAGGTTCAAAGTGTCGTGTTTTGCGCTGACTGTACGGCGCGGGTTCGAATCCGCGTAGGGTCTCCTTGCGGTCTAGTCAGCCTGCGTGCGACTAGTAGTGGTTGCATGGCAACGAAGCGCCGTTACGGCCTACAGCTGACACATTATTATTATTACTCTCAAATTAGATAGAAATGTTGTTGTGCGTGAGGTTAACCCTGTTGATGAACCGTGGCTCCTATCCACATGCCTCCCCAGTCTTATTCCTTTGGGTTTACACAGGATATGGAGAATGTGGATGTGACTGTGGATGGCGAAGCGCAGACCACCTATGTCCCTCTGGAGGCGTAGGTGTCCTATGGCCGTCCACATGGAGAACACAGTGACAGATAACTCCAGAACCGGAAGCAGAAGAGAGTAAACAAAAGATTCACAAATTTCGAGGGAACACATTTCCGAGTAATGGTGTCGAAAAGGATGAGGCAATCCACTGAATAGAGGAATACAACTATAGCCGGGCAGCGTGATAAGTGACAATGCTCCGGCACATGCTACCAAGGTATCATCCATACAACACAGTCTCAGATGAAACCCTGCCTATGGCATGTGCATTCGAGATTTGCGTATAGCAGTAAGTCGACGGACAAGAATTGAGGCAATTAACCTTATTATCACCAGAATGAGATTGATGCTCTTGCAGTTAGCTCAAGCGAGTACACTACTCTCCTTGTATTCTGCCACTATGATCCATTCGCCCGTTAGCTGGGATATCCTCTTCTTTGACAGAAGACATCAATACCAACCACAAAAAGTGCGGGTGTTGCACAGGCACCCAGAAAAGGATTAAAGATTGTGGTGATGTTTGAAGTCTACTTCTGATAGGTCTCTAAACTCACGGGTCACGCATCAACCTGCAACACCAGAGTAGGAAGTTGTCCAAGAACAGGGGTCTACAAAACTGCACTCGAAAATTCATTTAAAGAACTATTCGTCATTCCTTATCATGAATCGATGCACTGGAGTTGTCCCTGAGAATGGAGCTACGTATTGATTCCTGAAACCATTAGTACGCATCACCTAGAAGGACCCGCAGTGGTTAACAGCAGCTCCTGCTTACTCATATTCCTGAGACACGTGGGCCAACCAGATACTTCGTCAAGATGGAGCTACTAGTTCACTTGATGAGAGGAATAATATCCCACCAACAAGAGCAGCATCAGGCTGATCACAGTGTAACTCCCTCCCTCTCCCCCCACAAACTGTTGAACTGAGTCTCAGAATCGGTCGGGAACTTGGATGAGTGACAAAGACACGGGTGATGGATGTCGGTGGTATGGGGGAGCAGAGGAACAGTGATTCAAATCACGTGGGATAAGAGTCCACGAAAACGATCAGTGAAAGCGTGGTTAGGAAGGTCGAAACAATTAACCTGAACGCTGGGAAGAGCGGTTCCAAGCAGCCAAGCTTCACGAGTTATATCCAGCATATGAATCATGTTATTTCAAGCCCCAATCCTAGGCTTGCAAGCTACAAATCAATGCGCACGACAAATAGCAGGTACTAGTGGTTCCCAACATCGTACTCTACGACAGGTTAGATAAGCACCCTAGGGTCTGGTCTCATTTCGGTTGCCTCTACCTACAGTTCAATAAGAGCCACGCCGATCGTAGAGAGCAGTCTTAGGAATGGGCAACATCCAACATCCACTTCATATAACACAATCTCAATGGCCGAACTGAACGAAGTACAATGTAAAGTAAAAGGTTGCTAAGACAGGCTGCCTGACGCGATCAACATGATTAATGGATAGCAAGAGCATAGAACCAGTCACTTTGTGCCTATATCTGCATGACGAAATGGTAGGTAGTTTTTGAAGTAGGACCGCCCATCTCTTAGGCTGATGCACGCTTGCCGATCTGAATGCGGGAAATCCAGACATCAAGGTAGTCCACTACTCACAATTAGAAAGGTATCCGGAGTGAGGAAAAGCAGTACATACAGTTCCATTATGAACAAGGATGAATAGAAATAGCAAAAAACATGCAACAATCCGTCGCTAATTTTTGGTTTACCTGCTGTGTCGGTAGTTTATTGTCTGGTTCTGAGGTAACAACTGTGTGTTTGGATTGCGACATGCAACCATAATTTCGACTACAACTTTCTGAAATTCAATTATTGCGACCGCATTAGAAATGGGGAGTTCAGGTAGTTTTGGTCACCATCCACAAAAAGGTCCATGAATAGCTTCGCCAAGTTCGAGACACCCGACGGGTGCCTTATGAACTAGTGATCAACGCATCAACCGTCAACCGTACGACCAGACTATCTCTATCTGAAAAGTTCAATTAAGGACGAAACTAGTCGTGGGGTTCAAGGTTTGGGATGAATAACACCGGGAAATTTCCAAGTGAAAGCTCCCTGACAACAGAAAGGAGCTTGCAAAAGTATACTGTTGAGCTTAAGATAAAACACATTGGACAACGGTAAAAGAAGTCGATCAGCCATCTAATGTTCCTCAAATATCCAGATGGGAAGTTCGAGTGAGGCAGATGTAACCAATTCGGATTACGGGCATTCACTGCTGAAATAAGCGGAGAGTAAACATACTAGAAGAGGTTAGGAGGTCAATTTCAAGAAAAACGTGCCATAATCACAAACTGTTTCTTTAAAGTTGTCCCACTGAGGCTGTAAAGTAAGGCTGCTGGATATCTAGACACCGAAGCCACTCACAAGTGAGCGGGTTACCCAGTATGTGTGCAACGTTCTAACTTTGCTAATGTTCCAAGTAGCGCCGCGGAAAGACAGACAGCCAACTTGGAGACCGTAAATTTGCATCGTAAAGGTGGCAGAAACGGTGCACCCAGGAACCAAGATGCACAATGAGAAATACGCTCATAGGAGGGTGGACTTGCGTGAGATTTGACGTACATTGGGTGATTTAAGCCGAATAAACGGATATCGAAAACACAAAAAACGGCTGCGTACTGTTGGTATTCCGCTTCTTCTTCAAGCTAAATGAAAAGTCTCATACTGTAAGCAGATCAAACAGATAAGATGAAACATAAGTCAGTTTGAAAAAGGCGCAACCGGAAGGCATCGAAATCAAACGTCGCTTTCTGCACGCGAACGATGAATTGCGGATTTAACGGGAACAGAAATGGTAGCTGAGCGCGTACAAAAAGTACATAGAGCTCATGTTGTATGACAAGGGCGAAAAAATCAAAAAGCAAGGCATGAATAGTATCACAATATCGAGACACATAAGCTATCAAGGGAGCTAAAACGTTAAACCATAAAAGCACGGAAAAGAAAAAAATAGATATGAGATGAATACAAAGCATGTCCCAATAAAAATGGAGGGTAAGACGTTAAGAGCGTGTGACTGTTAATTTTTAGTGGGTGGCAAGAAATCATCCAGATAAGAGGCGCATGCACTACATACAACAGAAACGCAACTGAAACAGGAGCAAAAGCGGAGAAAATCCAAAGCTGAGCGGTTCTGTGAGTATATTGCGGAACAGAGGTTGCAGACTGAATGTGATGCGGCCTGAAAGTGAAAGGAGTAACACCCAGTTAAATATAAAAATAGAAAATATTTCAGGGTATTAAAATGTGTGTGGTTAGAAGTAAGTAAGCAAAGTAAGTAAGGAGTAAGTGGGTAGTTAGGTAGAGGTACATACCTCGACTGTGCGAGAAGCTGATCCCATGAATATTCAGGTCACTAAGTACAATGTCGAGCGGACAAACCACAGCATTCGCGTCAAATGCAAAGAAATACCCCGAGGAAAACAGTGTGTCGACGCAAATATAAGCGGACCATCTGTGTTTAACCTACCGAAGTGAGGCTTGTTTTTTGGAGCCAGAAGGAGCAGACACTGTGTCCAGCGGATCTATCACAATAAGTTAACCAGAGGAATTCTTCGACTTCTACACGGGATATCATCTACTCAATCTCAAAGCAGCAGTTCAGATTGGCAGATAGCCAAGTTGAGTGTGGTAATGAATGCAGAGAAATACGAAGTCGAGAAGTCATGCGATCCAGCTGTGTGCACAGCAAAGTTCCCGAATGCATATCGAGACAAAACCGAAGCTTTATTACCCTGATACATGTTCAGTTCAGCTGAAAATTATGCTCCGAGCACCGAAGTGTGTTGGAGCCAGTTGCCACGACGCGTACCGCAAGAACAACAATAAATAACAACGGCAGGATAGTGGGGTTAAAGGCAAATAGAATGTAAAGAAAACGAAAGCAAAATGGAAGTGCGTTAGATGAATCAGAATGAAAACAAATTAACAACTAGATGAAAGAAACCAAATGCAGGAACGCCACTGACTTCGTGACTGCGCCATGTCTGACACGGTCTCCAACCATTGGTGTGGACCATCCCGAGTCCCCCATCCAAGAAGACAGCATGGACTAGCTTGACCAACTGTCTCACTGAATTTCTTTACGCCGCTATGCCACGTCATCGACCGGCCACTTCGCGGTTTCACCCAATTTGGTGCGGCCACGGAGTATAATGCGCGCCGAAGAAGCCGGTCAACGAACAAACGGAGGACATGGCCTAGCCAACGTAAGTGAGTAACTTTTAGCAAGAACTCGAGAGAGGCACCAGACGGCTTCTCGCCAAAATCTAGCTGGCGGACCTCAGCATTGCTCACCCGGTGTTCGCACCAAACATGAACAATACTCCACAAGCACGGCAGTCAAACACAGCCAAGCGTTTAATGTCTTCGCCGCGAACTAGCCAAATCTCTGCTCCATACACTAAGGCCGGCCTTACCGCAGCGTTATACACCCTACCTTTCACTAGCAAACTGATATCCTGCCGTCTCCATAGATGGTTGAGTCGCTGGAAAGCCATACGGGCCTTGCTGATACGTGAAGTAACTTCCTCAGTGAAGTGACCACCAGAGGTGACACAGCTACTAAGTAAGTGAACTTAGTGATTGTTCAGAAGCAGCTAGAACCGGATGAGTGTCAACCCAGTCCTGCAACCACACTTTGCAATTTGAAGGCGCAAAGGTTATGCCGGAACCTGAAGCGCTACGCACAAGTCTGTGCAGTAATGTTTGCATAGTCAATGTATCAAACCCTAGGTAAACTATGTCGTCCGAATACTCCAGGTTTGTCAATCAGTTGCCTGGAAGAACTTCCAGTCCAGAATAGTTTGAAAGAACCGAGTCATTCATGATCATTTCGAGTACAAAGCCGAAAAGGAGATATAGAGCAACCCTGGCGAACCCCGCTTGTGAGGAACTCAGGAGACAGTTCGAAATGATTTGGAATATTGGTAGCTCGGTAGGCTTGTTAAATTGTGGTGTTCGCCGAGCTGGGCAACTTCATCGCAAACGTTTCACCACCATTCGAGGTGGCAACTTCAGTGCAGGATCGACAGCAGTCAGCTGGAGCTGGTAGAAGGAAACCCGATGATGGATACTGTCAGCGGCTACTCCGTTCCTTATAGAAGCATATGGGGCTATTAAGTTCGCCTCGTTCTGATTGGTGATTCATTGTGTTCTGTAGTCGTGTTTGAGGCACCGTCATTTGCTGCTCAAATGTCGTTGCGAAGTGGTTGGGAATATTGCACTGGGATTGGTGCAATGGGTGCGGGTGAGGAAGCTGGGCTCATATTGAACATTCTGTTCATTGTCTGAGTGTTGGATCAGGTTCTTTCGAACAGCGGTTGTTAATCATCTTGAGGGCTCCCTGTCTCAGCGGTTGGTATATTGGATCGATGTCGACATGCACGTTGGTTTAGTTCGTGGGTAAGAAGTAGGCTTCGAGAAACCCCGTCCCTTTTAGTATTCCTCTTTGGGTCAATATTACTACTTTGCTCCAGTTGAAGTTGTGTCCCTCTTCATCCACGTGTGCTGAAACTAATGAGATTGTGTAGTGTTTCTTGCACGCTCTTTGATGTCTCTAGTTGACAGCTTCCTTCCTGTTTGTCCCACTTAGTGCTTTTCACAATTTACGCAGTTCATTCTATATACGACATTCCGTCGTTCCAGTGCTACTTGTTTTTCTTTCGGTTTTGACAATGTTTTCCTCAGAGTGGCAGTCGGCTTGTGGGATACCATGATATGACAGTCATACCAGATATGATCTTTATATATGGCAGAACTATACGTTTCGTCTTAGCTGACGTAAGTTCAGTTTTTGTGGGTTTACGGTTTAGGCATCTTCGGAGGGAACTGAGTGTATATCCATTGCGTTCAAATACCTTGAATAGTGCTTTTCTTCTGCTCGTCTCGCTTCCGTCGTAATGCAACGAGTTGCTATTCTACGGAACAGTGTCTCTACACAGCTTATTTTGTGACAACTTGGTTTGTTGCTCTTGAACCTCGAAATCTGATCTGTGTCAGTGCTTTTTCTGTAAAGTGACGTTTGCAATTCGCCGTCCATTGTTCTGGCTACTAACACATCCAAGAAAAGGAGTTTGTATTTTTGCTTAGATTCCAAGGCCAACTGGATGCCGTCCATAGCGTCGTTAAGCAACCGATACTTGACTACGTTAGAGTTTGTAGCGAACCTTAAGTTTCGGATTAATCATTGGTAGTAGATCCTTTACAAATTTCTGCATGACAATCTCCGCGATGAGTCCGGATACGGTGATCACATCGGTGCACCTTTCACTTAATTATAAATTATTTTTCCGTTGAACGCAAAGTAAGTTGAGAGACATAAGTGAAGATCTTCGCACACTTTTCTGGTCGTCATGTTCCCAATTCTCTATCCGCTGTTGTCCAGAGGTTCTACGATAACTTAATTGGCCACCTGTAAGTTGACGGAAGTGAATAGGGCGGTTACATCGAAGGACATCACGGTCTCATCGCGGTCTAATCGTAGGTCTCTGAGCTTCGTCAAGAATTGTTGGACATTGTTTATGGAGTGTTGTGATTTACTGGTTAGGTGCTTGAGGCGTCTCCATAGTTCCTTTGACAGATTGTAGGTGGGTGTACCTGGAAGTGACACAATTGGTCGTAACAGTGCTCCATACTTGAGCACTTTGGGTAGTCCATAGAATTGTGCAATGTTCGAGTCTCGGACCCTCATCCTATCTCGTTCCACTTCCGTGATTTCGTTCTACTGCTTAAGCTTCGCCAAGATTCTGTCTATTTGTTGTTTAGTTGCAATGTTAGGTCGTTTTCAATGCAATGGTTGGTTGTAGTATCGCTCAGGAACTCATTTGTTTTCTCGATGTAATCTGCTTTGTCCATAACAACTGGCATCCGTCCGTTGTCAGTAGGTAGGATAACAATTGTTTCGTCCGATTTCAGAGATTGTATTGCTTCTTCCTCTTGTCCGGATAGAGGGTTGTATTGCTATACATGTGTCATGACTGGGACGACTGTATATCTGATTTGTTTCTGTGTTTCTTCCTCCAGTTAGATGGACTGCAAGGCGCTTTCAAATCGTGCCAGAAACTCCGTAGTTGTCGCGTATTTGTAGTTGTAGTTTAGGTCTCGGGAGAGAGTGGTCGCTTTGACAATAGGCAGTTTCTCATAGACCCTTACACGGCCTCGGGAGACACGGTAGGCTAGAGTAAACAAATTTAGCTGGCATGCCCTATATGGATAGGCAGTGCCACAAGTTGTCTTGATCAACAGAGTCGACAGCGGCTTTCAAGTCAAGGAAAACCGCCATAGAACCTACTTGGAGATGGACATGACAGTTGATAGTCGCCAGTTTGAAGGCACTTCTTCAATGTCCCAAATCGTATTAAGAGAAGCAAGTCCAGTCAACAAAGAGTCACCACCATCTTCCAGCAAAAATGGGGGAAGGTCGTCGGGGCTAGGAGCCTTGTTTCATCTCAAAAAGGAAAGCTCATATAGAATCTCTTCCAAAGTGGAAGGTGTGACATCTACTTCCCACGTTGATGCACGTGGTTCGGCAAGCGTTGGTATTGCAGCAGGTTTGCTGAACCGATCCACAAAATGTTCCGCCCAACGGGCTAGTCTACGAAGCTGAGAATGGATCAAGAGTCCATCTTACTCAGCTATTATCTCTCTAGCTGATGGCTTTCTCGGACCTGTGTTCCGTATGAGCTAGAATAGCACCCGGCTGTGTCAAATTGCGTGGGCTTTCTCCATCTCACGGGCCTTTGCAACCCACCAACGTTCCTGATCAACCTGAAGACTCAATGTCAAACGTAGTTTCAGTGAGGTACGGATAGGTTGAAACTCAGTGCCCATTGGAACCTGTTTACGCGCTTTGACCAAAATAATCGATGCTTCAGGGATCTGCTCACAGAAACGATGTCTCAAGTTGGGAGTACAGCAAGCGTCAACGGCATTCTTCATGACACAGTTGGGACGATACCAGTCAGATTTCGACTCAACAACCTCGTTCATCACTGACAATTGGTGAGCCAGTTTGTCACTATGTAGTTGAACTGCAGATTGTGAGTTCAATTTACATTGTAGAAGAGTGAGTTACAGGCGTGTGCGCAGTACCGCATGGTCGGAATCCAGGCAGTGCTCCAAATTGACCGATAGTCATGGATTGATGTGCGCCATCTGCAGCTGATGGCAATATTGTTAATTTGGGTCCAGGTCATTGAGGAATTCAGTGGGCGCCAAGGGATGCTGTGTGAACGTTTGTGTTGGAAAGCAGTGCTGCTAGTATAAGGATTGTGGTCAATGCACAGTTGCAGGAATCGGCGTGCATCGACTCCAAAGCGTCCTCCTAGGTGTTGTACAGAATTTTAAAGACGACCTTCATCTTGCTCTGTCCACCAAATTGTCATCGAATCCACTTGGGACGTCGCAATGATCGAGGTTACAATAGGGTAAATCGCGGTCCCAAGTGAGATTGTGTGTCGCCACCCAAACAAAAGACAGATATCCCAAAACCTACCAGCCAATTTCTGAATGCAGTGTCAAGAGTTGTTTGCGGATCTCAATAGTCTAGCGATCGAGGCATTAGCTGTCAAACACTAAATCTCAGGCTCTACACCCAACTCCACATATGTAGACCTGGAGTAAAAACAAGGACGAAACCTGTCGTGGAGGATACAGCAACACTGGAAACAGGAGAATGTTGAATTTGAAATGGGGAACAGAACAGTTGATAAAATGTAAAAGATGTAAAAAGTGACGGTCTTGAATTAAGTTGCACAAAGCAGGAAAACGAGACCTGCAACTGTCGGAAGTTTGCTAGTTAATAAAGGGGAGCATACGCACATGATTTCATTAAGCAGGTTTGGAAGCACATCCATGATTTTATGAAATTTAATATCCAAAAACAACAGAGGAGTGCTGCAGAAGGGATTGATACATCGAGTTAACGGGGTGATCATCCCCTTCGCGTTTGGTTCCCTTACTAATGAAATCGTACAATAACAAGAAGGTGCTAGAGAAATAACTGTGAGGAACGCTAGATGCAGAACCTGCAGATTATGCCATCTCTGAACAGATGAGCGTATATAGCATAAAGTGGAGATTGGTAGAGCAAATAACATCCTTGAGGGACAAAACTGCTCAAAAACCATGAAAAACGTCACTATAGCAACGGAAGCTTACCTAATTTTGTGGTACCATATGACAACTACCAATTCAAGCGACCAAGACCGTTTTTAGCGTTGCTTGTATTTCTTCCGCTTCTGCTTTGTTCGCAGGATAATCAAAGCTATCATCTTTCGGTGCTGTGTTGATCCCAGACGCCACAACCTCCATGAGTGATGCGTTGCTGGGGTAGGTGGAAAGGGGCCTGTTTGCGACCGCAGCAAGAGAAAACTTGTTATTATTGCAGGACACGTCTTTCATTAGATCTGGCTGACTTTGGCTGGCTGCTGAAACGACCAAAGATTGCAACAACTGTGGATCAGAGTGGACGAAAGTGCACTCGGTGGACAGGTGACCAGCAGTTGACGGAGAGGATGAAGCATAACGACGGTGTTCACTGACTTCAAAGAACACCGAAGGAACAATAGATTGAGATGGAGGAACACGAGTTTGGATTGAAGCATTAGAAAGAGGCTATTAAATGAGAGGAAAAGAATAAAATATGATATTGAACCATTAGTGCGCGGTTGATCGTACATAAATGAAACTAAATCTGTTGGGAAGTAGCAATGGGAGGAGACAGTCCCCTAGTGAGCGAACGCTACATGAAGTATAGTTAAAGTGAATGAGAAATGTCTGAAAAATTACAGAAACTAGTTCGGATGTTAGCGATCAAAAGCACATTGGTGTCAGTTCGCTGGGCAAAATTAGAATTTCTATCTGATGGTAAAACTGTTCAGACTCCTAAGTGCTAACGTAGATCTGCTGACCAGACTAACCAAAATCCGATTAAAAACCAGAGACGTTCAGTAATTAAAATCAAAGTATTCAAGTAAGGTCCTTGTTCTAGATAATCCAGCGGCTGGCTTGCCGAACTACCTCTTCGTGGTGCCAACTGGGTGGTTCAGGATTATCCCCTTTCAGCGGAAAGTTCGGCGGCAGTGTTCCAGGACGTAGTGGGTTTCTGTCTGGCAAGCGTTCTCCTTATAAAAGTCACATGTATCCGTTTAACAACACTGCGACGTGGCGGATGTGGAGGTGTTGCCCCCTAAGTTAACCCCCATCCTCGGCCTGGGCAACCGGGAAACTACATGCCCACACAACACATGAAATGATGGATTTACAACTCTGCTCACGTTTCTCGCTCTCTGGCGGCAGGGCATTCGAAACCTCACCCTACCGCACTGCAAACCACGTTTTTCGTTCTACGCTTATACAACCCTCCTGTCCTTGGCAACCCGCCTTCAATTTCGAGTCTCCAGAAGTGCATTGCAAATCAAACGGTCCCTTTGGATTCATCAATAAACCGCTCAAAAGCGATCGCACACAATCCAATCCAATACCAACTGCATCCTGCTAGCTCTTCAAGTTAGCTACGTTCAATGTTCGAACGCTCATGCAGTTTGGTTTACAAGCTGCTCTAGCGCGCACCCTGGAGACTCACTCAAACGAAGTTTGCTGCCTAACCGAAACCCGTTTCCAAGACTCCAGCACAACGCTGCGATTGCTCTTACCCTCCCCAAGTTCCAATTACACCTTCACCTTGCGTTTATCTGGAGATGCGACAGTGGCAGCCTCTGGTTGCGCCGGCGTAGGAGTTGCGTTAAGCGCGCGTGCTGAGGCAGCGCTCATTGACTGGTTCGCGGTCAAGAGTCGTCTTTGTGCAGTCCGATTGGAAAGCTCAGTGCGATCTTCAAGCCAAGGGACCAATAGGCGCTGCTTATTCATTGTGGCGGCGTACGTTCCAACGGACTGCAACCCGGACGAAGCTAAAGACGAGTTCTAGCGCAACTAACCGAGCTCCTCTGCAAGAAATGCCGTAGGGACATCGTCATACTCACCGGTGACTTTAATGCGCAGGTCGGTAGACTAGAGGTTCATGAGTGCGAACTTGGGGGTCAACACAGCCACGGTACTCGCAGGACGGACAACGGCGAACGACTCCTACAACTGTGCGTCGACCACGGCTTGCTCCTCTCCAGCACCAAATTCCGATGTTCTGGGCGTCAAGGAGCCACCTGGCGACCTCCGGCGCCTGGTCAATCTTTGATGAAAATTGACCACACCGCTGTTAGTTACCGTTGGTGAGGCTGCATAACGGAGTGCAGGTCAGTTTGAATAACTTACCTGATTTCAGATCATGCGCCCTTGTGTGCTAAGTTCGTTCTGCGCTTTGGAGACACCCAACAGAGTCGACGGAAACGGTTCGACACAGACAAGCTCGCCGCTCAAATGTTCTTAGCGCATTTCAGAATACATTAGTCTCCAACCTACGTTCTCTATCCTCCGAAGTTAAGACACACTGGGCACAGATCCAGAGCGTCTTACGAAAGTCCACTACCCTGGTCTGTGACTTCAGTAGACGAGCTGATAGTCAGTGGATCTCCGCACAGTATCTCCAACTAATGGAAAGTCGTGGATGAGTACAACGCACTACGTAGAACCACAGGTGCTGAGCTCAGAAAGCTCCTCAGGATCGATCGCGAGGTTTGAACATAGCGCGTCGTTGAGATGGAGCGCGCAACCTCATCAGGAAACTCCTGCAAACTCTTGCAAGTTATTCGCTCCACGGTAGGCAGAAGACCAACAGTGAGTGAGGTTTTACGCGAAAATGACGGTGAACTACTTCAGTCGTCACCGTCGTCTGGTACGATGGGCAGAGCGCTTTGAAGACCAATTCAACTGGCTAGCCGCGCAACGGAGTCTATCTTCCGGGGTTCACAGGGCTCCCTGGTGCGTGGGTGTATCTCCATTGACAGAGGCAGAGGTTTGCATTGAGCTTCGCCTACTAAAGCACCACAAGTTATCTGGCCCAGATGAACTTCCTCAAGTCCTCTTCAAATATGGTCCTGCTCTCACTCGCGAACTGACATCACTATTCCATTAGAGTTGGACTACTGAAACCATTCTATCCGACTGGAATTTAGCGGATGTTGTACCTGTTTACAAAAAGGACCAGACCATTTGCTCCAACCATCGTGGCATTTGTCTCATTTACGTCGCATTAAAACTGCTCGCTGCCCTACTCTTGCGGAGGCTCAGTTGCGTACGGTAACAGCACCTGCGTGAACAAACTGGATTTCGCCCGAATCGCAGTTGTGTCGATCACATCTTTACGATGCGCCAGATACTTGAACATCGCCATACGTTCAGTGGACAAACATTCGAGCCGATTTTGACTCTGCTGATAGAGTGGCTTTTTGGGACTGTTTACTGAAGAGAAGAGAGGGAGTACCTGAGAAGTAGATCAGCATTCTCCGTGCTATTTACCATCAAACTTCGGGCAGCGTGCGAGTATACGGAGACATTTCGACCACTTTCATTATCACTAGCGGTGTTAGACAGGGTTACACAGTCTCTCCATTCTTGTTCAACTTCGCCATGAACGAGATCCTGGATACTGCCCTGGATAACTCTGAGTCCTGCGGTGTTGAACTGATCTCTGGTGACCGCCTTCGGGACTCAGAGTACGCCGATAACATCGTTGTGATTCGCGAGTCCTCCCAAATCGTCCAGCATGTGCTGCTCAGACTGGAAACGTCCGCCGCCCAATTTGCGTTGAGCTTTGCTCCTTCCAAATTTAAGGTCCTATTACAGGACTGGCCAAGCGCATGTCCCTTCCGGGGCATCCGTTGCAATTGGCCGACAAATTCATTTATCTTGGGAGCTGTTTTAGTATTGGCGGTTTGAGAGATGAGATCCTCTTGCGTGTCTCTAAGACTAGAGTCACTTTCGCTAACCGTCGTCACTTGTGTCTTTGTCGTGACCTCAGCCTCGCTCTCAAGAGACGAGTCCATAATGCTACGGTACGAGCGATCCTGCTGTATGGCTGTGAAACTTGGCCCGTTTGCAAAAGCGATGTTCAGCGGCTATCTGTCTTCGATCACTGCTGCCTGTGAAGCATTGCTGGTGTTCGATGGCAGCATCACATCAGTAATGAGGAAATCCGTCGGCGAGTCTTAAGATCTAATGAACTCGAAAGACCGATTGGTAGCATCATTTCGCTGGCTTTACCATGTGCTCCGCATGCCTACCCAGCGGCTACCACGACTAGTCCTATTTGCGAGCACAAACGTGGCTCAGAAGCAACGAAAAGGAGGGCAACGTAAAAATTGGATCAGCGTTAGGCTGCAAAGGTTGAAGCTAGCTGTCGTCGGGAGTCCTAGACTTCCGGATTGCTGACGAAAGAACAATGAGCACACCTGACTGCAAACGCTGGAGAATATGGCCAAGGACCATAAGCAATGGCACACTTGTTGTGAGAATCTTCTACCCTAACAGTTGTTTTCCCGTTCAAGCTATCATTTTTCTTCTTATGTGTTGTGGCACTCAGACAATTATAATGTATAGGCATAGTGTTGAATGTATATATATATATATATATATATATATATATATATATATATATATATATATATATATATAGCGGAAGAGCCTGTGGTGCGCTGAGGCTTACGGTGGCTGGATCCTGATAGATGGTCTACCCACTGCCGCTACTACTGTGCCATTTGCTCATGTCCTGGGCGCCTCCTCATGGCGATCACTGGGTGGGAGTTAGGTTACGCGCTTCTCCCTGCTAAGATCCAGGACACCAATTCGCATGAGTCAGTGAACTGACCATGTGCTAGACCCGCTGCATTTCGGGTGTTCATTTAATCGAAGGCTTTGACTGAGGACCCAAGTCGTTCTCCTGTCAGGTGTGGGCGCCCTGCCAGTATCCTAGTCCATCCTCTTCGGAGGTTAGGAAGTGGTCGATGGCCCTCTTCCCGCAAAACCTAGCCATGTAAGACAACAGGCCTACGGGTTATAAGCTTACAGCTCGATTGGCGTAGACCACGAGCGCCACGCATTGTCTCTGTCGGTGAGAGGGCACCTCCGGTCGCTCAATGGTTTCCTACTGCCCAACTCAAGCAAGGCAGCCCCTAGTCAAACTGGTGAAAACCCGTCAAAATCCATGTGCGTCTGGCCGTGGTCGCAGGTGTATCCTATTACGATCGCAAAATATAGTTAAATCGTTTCAGTACCTCCAAGGCTGTGTGTAACGGCCGTCAAGCAGATCCTAATCTGTCTTTGCAATCAAATTCCCGAGCTGGATCTGCTCTCCACTGCCTTGTGGGTCAGGCTATTGAGCCAAAGGCTCCGGGCGGAGTTCCTCCAGCAAACCTACAAATCACCCACTGCCTTGTGGGTAAGCTTATTGAGCCGAAGGCTCCGGGTGGAGTCCCTCAAACAAACCTCCGAAGCACAACGACCATCTCGCATGCGATTGCCCACCAATGCAATCGTATGCCTGCACACAAAGCACTCAGCATATGGTGTTGGAACGTGCGCACACTACTAGACCAGAAATCCAGCGAGCGGCCCGAGCGACGCACTGCACTCGTCGCGTTGAAACTGGCGCGCTACAACATCGATATTGCGGAGTTCAGTGAAACCCAGCTCGCTGAGCAAGGTAAGTTGCATGAAGCAGGTGC